GGGGAGGAGAAGTGAAAGAGAGAGACAGAGAGAGAGGCAGAAGGTGGAGGAGAGCTGAGAGAGAGAGAGGAGGAGGCAGGAGGAGGAGGAAAGACAGAGCGAGAGACTGGAGGCTCAGGAGAGAAGACCGACGTGGAGGAGAGACCTGAAAATCCCATCTTATGACTGGCTAATTGGCTAGTTAGTACATAAGCTTTCATTGGGTAAAACCCACATCATCAGATAAGTGGAAATTACACAGATTAAATATATATTGTTAATGAGGCCAATTATGCCTCCTGCAAGGCGGTTTACAGGATATGTAGAAACAGACTTTCTCTCTCGACATCCCCCTCTAGACTGCCACTTTTTGCTGACAAAGTGCTGAGTCAGCAAATCACGGCAACCATTTTAATGCAAATTAGGCTCGGGATATTTAAATCCCTGCCTCATTTGTAATGTCGTCCTGCATCCCTGCCGACAGAGGGATGCAGCCTAGACATACCCTAAGATTGCCAATGTGTAATTACTGCTGGAATACAGAAAAACAGGATTGTGCTTAATTTGTTCCAAAGGAAGGGGCTCATGGTTAAAAGAAAGGACCCTATTAAGCAGGGGCACAATTGTCAAAACCCTGTGTGAGATTAAGAAGGATGGGGGTGGTTATTCAGGTCAGGAGGCTTCAGATCCCTTCCAGTGGTACTCCCTGAATTGGTTTGACTTGTTCTCCTCATGGTTCAAAGAATTCAGCTAAACAGGCTTCATTAGGAGCCTCTTTGTTATTTTAATCACAGAAGAACTGTATTTTTGCTCTGCCTGCTAAGAGCTCAAATCAGTGGGAGCTGAAATAACTTGAGATGGGACACTTTCCAGCCTGGAAAAAAGTTGAAATTTCTTATGTGCAGAGATCAGACCTGAGAGATGGATGGCAGTGGATGGTGACTTATGACCAGCAGGTGGCACAGGAGAGGCACAATAAGTGGCCAGCAGAGTGGTGGCAGGAGTGTGAGGAGCAGCCAGTAGGGTGGCGGCCGAGAGGCATGATGAGCAGCCAGCAGGGTGGTAGTGGAGAAGCATGACTAGTGACCACCAGAGTGAGTAAAATGCCTCTTTGACCCCTACTCAAAGTGAGAGAGGAACTCTGCAAATAAACCTCTGAACTCTGGGTCTGTACCAGCCAAAGGCAGCAACTATGAGTAGAGTGCACAGAAGGCTCGGGTATGTGAAGCGGAAAAAGGACACTGCCCAACTTACTTGGCATGTGTCTTTTATTCATGGTATATGTTTATGAATACTGATTGCAGTGTTTTCCCAAATTATTACCAAATTACTGTCCTCTTTTTATTAAGTTTCTTATCTACACTTAGACTCTATGCTTGTGAGTAGGGAACTATTGACTCTCAGAAGTGCACAGTGTATAAATTTCCCAGGTTTCTTGGTGAGTATTCAAACCAGTTCTTTGTTGGATCAGTGGAAAGGAACCCCTAGATATTGAACACGGCCCTGACAACTGCTAACTTCACCTCACAGAAGAGTTATATTTAGAATATAATAATATCACAGAAATAACATTAGTAACTTAGGCTATGTCTAGACTGCAGGCTTCTTTCGAAAGAGACTCTTTCGAAAGCATCTTTCGAAAGAGCCTCTTTCGAAAGATCGCGTCTAGACTGCAGGCGGATCTTTCGAAAGAGCAATCCGCTTTTTCGAAAGAGAGCACCCAGCGAGTCTGGATGCTCTCTTTCAAGGAAGCCTTATTTACATTGAAGAACGCCTTCTTTCGAAAGAGGAACTTTCGAAAGAAGGCGTTCTTCCTCGTAAAAAGAGGTTTACCGCCATCGAAAGAAAAGCCGCGTTCTTTCGAAATAATTTCGAAAGAACGCGGCTTGAGTCTGGACGCAGGGGAAGTTTTTTCGGGAAAAGGCTACTTCATCAAGAAGCAACGGCCTGATGAAATTCAATCCAGGGTACTTAAAAGAATAAGTTGAAGATATCCTGGAACCATTAGGCTACATATACACTGCAGAGCTATTTCAAGATACTTCCGGTATCCCAAAATAGCTATTCCGTGTCTTTTGTGCAAGCCTGCTATTTCAAAATATAACAGGCTTGCTATTCCATTGTTCTGTAAACCTCATTTCATGAGGAGTAAGCAACCTTTCAGAATAGTGCTCTATTTCAAAACTTGGTGCTGTGCAGACAGTGCCACATTTCAAAATAAGCTATTTCAAAATTAGCTTGAAAAAAGCAATGCAATTTGCTTATCGTATTCTACCTGGCACTAAGAAGGTCTCTGCTGAAATATCTAATTCTGGACACCACAATTCAAGTAGGTTTTAGACAAATTGGAGAGAGTCTGGATGAAAACAACAAAAATGATTGAACGGTTTACAATTCCTGACATGAGGAAATGGCACATATTTTGACATTCTTGGTCTTCAGAAAAGAATGCTGAGAATCTGATAACATTATTAAATATGTCAAAGATTGTTATAAAGAGGACTGTAATCAACTGTTTTCCCTGTCCACTAAAGTCTGGACAAGAAGAAAATGATTTAATCAGCAGCAAGAGAGATTTAGGTTAAATTACAGGATTTTAAAAATATAGAAGCATAAAATCTTAGGGATAGAAGAGACCTCAGGAGGCCTTTAAGATCAACCTGCTGCACAAAGCAGGACCAATTACAACTACATCATACTAGCCAGGACTTTGTCAAGCCAGGACTTAAAAATCTCTAGGGAAGGAGTTTCCACCACCTCCTTAGGTAACCCATTCAGTGCTTCACCACTCTCCTGATAAAATAGTTCTTCCTCATATCCAACCTAGACCTCTCCCACTGCAACTTTAGACCATTGCTCCTTGTTCTGTCATCTGTCACCACTGAGAACAGCTTCTCTCCATCCTCTTTGGATCCTCCCTTCAGGAAGTTGAAGGCTGCTATCAAATTCCCCCTCACTCTTCTTTTTTATAGACTAAATAAGCCCAAATCCCTCAGACTCTCCTTGTAAGTCATGTGCTCCAGCCCCCAATAATTTTTGTTGCTCTCTGCTAGACTTTCTTCAATGTGTCACATAATTTCTGTAATTAAGGAGCCAGAATTGGACACAATACTCCAGATGTGGCCTCACCTGTGCTGAATAAAGGCAGATAATCACTTCTCTAGATCTGTTGGCAATGCTCCTACTAATGCACCCCAATATACCATTAGCCTTCTTGGCTGTAAGGGCACATTGTGGACTCATATCCAGCTTCTCATCCACTGTAATTCCCAGGTCATTTTCTAAGGAGAATGAAGTACTTAAATAGGCTTCCTAAGGAGGTTGCAGAATCCCCATCATTGCAGGTTTTTAGGATCAAACGCTGCTTGGCCCTGCCTCAGCATGGGGAGGATGGACTACAGTACTTCTCAACAGCCCTTTCAATCCAACACTTCTGTGATTCTACAAGTCCACAACACATAAGCACCCTGCATAGACTTTTAATTTGTAATATCAGATTTGTGTTAGTGTAGGGCCTCATCCTGCATCCTTTACTAGCATTCTGATAACCCATTGCTACTAAGTGATCCTAAATGAGTCCATGGGTGCTCAGGCTGCAAAACATGTAAATCTCCATTATAAT